TAGCTAAAAAGAACAAAGAAAAAAATTTTAAAGGCATGGGGAGGGGAACCATCCTTACTCTTATCTTTAGCAGAGGTCTTCATTCCTGAATTTAGCCTTAAATTTTCTGCTTATTAAAAGCTTCCCGGAATTAAACTTCCAAAATAAATAAATAAATAAATAGCTTCCCAGAATCAACTGCCAATTTTCCCCAATCAACCCCATAAGGGAACATTTGATTAGATAGACCAGTGCCAGACAGCTTCCATGTACCTTGACCTTGGTCAGTATTAATCATCGAAAGGCTGCTGTCTCAATACAAGCCCACAAAGACTTCTCACGAAGGCAATGCAAAGCAGTTGGGTAGAGATGTTCTTCAAACCAGGGAACCAGAAGATTTATTTCACCCTGGGAATTTTCCTTCACTGAACCACAAAGTGGTTCAAGGACCTATGCCTTTCATTACACCGCCCCTTTTGTTAAATGTGGAGACAGATATGCTGGTACAGGCACAATAGAAACATAAAAACCTGTCAATAGTGTCACCTTGAGGAAAGGACAGGAACAGGGAAATTTCATTTGTTATTTTGTATTTTAAAAAACCATTTAAAGTTTCTAATCATGTACTTTGACTTTTGTGATATATTAAATATATTGATATGTTTGGATATAAACATAGCTAATATATAAATATAAAAAGTACCAGTGAAGTTACTTGATTCTCTCAAATAGGTCTCGTTAGGGGAAAAAAAAAATCAATTAACTCCAAATTAAGAGACATCAAGCAAAGCAACTCTAACTTGGACACTTCAAAAATGTTAAGGACATAAAGAACAAAATAAACAAAAGTGCCAGGGAACTGTTACAGATTAAAGGAAACTAGAGAGACCTGAAAAAATTTGCAATGTATGAGCCTTGATTCGATCTTGGATATGAATTTTTTTAAAAATCTATGAAGACATAATTGGAACAACTGAAAATGTTTGATATGGACTGCATGTTGGATAATGGTATTCTAGCAGTGATCAATGTTAAAATTCCTGGATGTGATAGTGTAAGAAATGATGGGAGAATAACTTTGCTTTTAGGAGATATATGCTAAAGGAGTAAAGTCTTGGTATGGTGGCCCTAACTCTCCTGTGTGCATGTGTATATGTGCAGAGAGAGAGAGAAGGCAAATATGGGGTTTACATTTTTACCTATAACTATTCTTAAAATGAGAAAAGGAAATTCTGATCTATACTATAGTAGTTGCAATAAAAAAAAAAAAAAGAGCCGAAGCAGTAATATAAAGTTTCAGTTCTAAACCACCAAGCAAAAGTTTTAGTATGGTTTCCTTTACCCTTAATTTAATTATAAAACCGACATTCCCAGCAAACAGGGATTTGCTCTTCCCAGAGATCTCCCTGTGGCCAGCCCTGTCTGTCTGCCTGAGGAAGTTGCCAGCAGCCTCCACCCCTCCACCCTTTGCCAGCCAATCTGGGCCCAGGCAGAAGCAAGGCATTTGGAGAGGCAGGTTTTTTCAATAGAATTATATTTTATGTAGCCTACCAGATCCCCATTCCTCCCACCTCGTATATCCTTCATTTTTACACACACACACACACACACACACACACACACGCATGCACTTTTTTCTGCTCATACCTCTGATGTTTCAGGGGGTTGATTTGGTAAATTTAGACCCCTGCAGTAATTTTGCCTCAATATAACAGATTCCCTAACTGTGGAACAACCTATTAGAGGTAGTTCCCCAAAAGGCAGATAAGGCTTTGAATCCAAGGTCTACCATTTTTGTGTGTTTTTTTTTTTTTTTTCATTAAAGAAACTACTTAACCTCTTTAATCCTCAGCTTCTTCATCTCTAAAATGGGGTGGCACTACTCATACTCAGTAGGGTTATTTGCAGAGTTAATAAGACTGTGCATGCAAAATGTCCAGTACATTGAAAGCACACCATAAGTGAGAGGGCAATTACTTTCTAAAAACATTCTGTTTTGAAGGAATCTGACTATAATGTATGAAAATCAAAGATCACTTTCAGAAGTCACCTTAATCATAGAAAAGGGATTATTTAGTGAGGGATTGAATTTTTCCTGAACGATTCAATATGAGCAAAAATCATTGAAAAATGATACTTTTAAAGGGCAAACTTATTACACAATGACACTTCCAAGGTTTATTATTCCTAGTATTTAACTACTTATCTTTTCAATTTTCACACAAAGCTAATCATTAATATTATCGTAATTCTAGAAGTAATTATTTTAAAAGCTTTTGCTGTAATAGCTGAAGCCTCTCTGGCTATTTCTGGTACCGAAGAAGGTAAAAGTGTTTATTTTTTTAGGACTGACATAAAAGAGATTGATTTTTGATGCCAAGAAATCACTTAGCATTCATATGACTTCAACTTCACAGTATCTTGGAATATGTTTATCCTTAATAAAAATTCTTCTAGAGGCAAAATGCCAACTCTTTCACCTCTCTCATACCTTCCCTCGGAAAACAGGGAGGGAGGTTGGAGACAAGGTCATGACCTAAGCTCCTTAGTGGCACAGACCAACACTTTGGGATGTCATCAGCTGCCCACTCATGAGCTGGTAAACACTTCCGGTCCAGTTCTTCTTAGCACCTCTTGCCTAAAGGATATCAGACCTACCTTTCCTGTAGAGAAACTGAGGCACAAAAGTGAAACAAAGGTCTCTGAGCTCGGGTCTTGGGATCCATCTTTCATCTTGTGAAATATGAAGGGTTAGCAAAGGATCTGCATGCTTTCAAAACAACCTCTACCAAATTTCACCTTGAGGGAGGTAGTATTTTTTATAATCAGCCCTAAGTCTACCACATATGAAGAAAAAGAAGTTTGTTTTTTTTTTTAACTATTATCCAATTAACATTTAGTTAGTGATTTTTTAGGAGTTACTGTGAGCTGGAACAGTGCTAGGCACTGTTAATCATTTTACAAATAGTAACTGACAACAGTCCTTATGATGATCTTTTATTATTATCCCCATTTACTGATTAGAAAGCTAAAGTGTGAGGGGTTAAGTCTATTTCCAGAGTTCGTGGAAACATCCCTAAAACATTTTGTTAAGAAAACTGCAGAACAATATGTAGTATGATCTCATTTTTATTAGAAAAAAATTAAGTGTGTGTGTGTGTATGTTATAATGTATAGAAAAAGGCTTGGACAGACATACTTCACTCACTGTCACTGATCACTTCTGAAGAGGTGAGTGGTGAAATGGAAAAGGATAATAGGGTTTCCAGATTTTGCGCTTTTTACTTCATGTTTGACTATTTACGAACAAGAATATTTCAAGCATCCTATACATAATTTTTTACTCCAGAAAACTCAAATAAAATGAAACAACTACAGAAACAAGCTTACCTTTCCTCTGAAGGCAAAGAGAACTCTATATGTGATTTATTGCTTCAGTAACCTCCATCAAAATGTCCAAACATCAAGGCACAACAAGCAGATTTCATGCAGAGTGCTGTGTGTGTGCTCTTATTGAGTCTTCAAAAAATCCTGAAAAGATCTCCCGATCTTCAACCTCATGTTCTTGCCACCAGAGTTGGCTCACCTGGCGCAATCATTTCTGCCATCTTAAATGCCAACAGCTGGGTGCAGTGTGATTGGAGATTAGCTCCAGAAACAACCTGAGAGGTCATCTTCTCCAGTCATCTTACCCTCAATCCTGGCTTTACATTAGAATCACCAGGATGCCGCAGTCTGGCTGGGCACAAAATCACGAGCCACCACACAGCTT